AAAAAAAAAAAAAAAGATGCCTTCCGAGCCCTGGTAGGAAGCACTGACAGCAGGAACAGAGAGGAGAGGGCACTGACTCCATAAAACTGGCATGACACCATAGCTGAACACATGAATCTGATTAGCAGGTTTTTGGCTTGGCTAAATAACTGGAGGAGTATACGGAATAACCATTATTTCAAATATTGTGACAGTAGATAAGAAGGTTCTCTATGTGCCTAAAGCACTGATGATAAATTATTAGCATGTAAATTATTAGCAAGTGAGCTAGATGCCCAGGGGAATAGATCTCACCGAGGCTACAGAGATCCAGTACCTGGTACCATTGCTTTAATACTAACTTATATTGTGTGGCTTTAACTAGTTATGTGGTCTATTCTTTGTTGTGCTCAGGAGGGATGACTTAGAGCAAAACTGTAATTTCCAATAATCTTTTTAAAATAAATATTACAAAATGTTTATAACAGCAGAATTCTGGATTCAGTTATTTTGAGAAATATTTTTCAATTTACCTTCACTGGCAAACCTGACAGGGTAGCAAGAGAGAACATTCATTATGATGGTTTTATAGCCTTGGTATGGAGTTTGGCAGTATCCACTGAAAACTTCCAGGCTCAGATTCATTTTTCTGCTCTACAGCATCTGTTCTTGCATGCTCAGTATCAGTAAACTGTGAATGATTTTCTATGGAAAATCTGTCAGCAGAAACTCCTTGGTCCACCTTGACATTGGAAGGGTTAGATAGGAAGGTAGGGGATACGTATACTTATTCATTGTCTCTTTTATTTTCAAAAGAAGTATACTTTGTGAAAAAGTCTCTTTGCTTCCATTACAGAACATTTCCACTACCTATATTCCCATATGCACAGTTTCTAGGTAAAATAATATTAATATTTTTAAATCTCTTGTAGCTGAAATTTACGGATCTGATTCCAGGAAAGTTAAACTAATTTATACTTCTATCAGTCGTGTACAAGTGTATGCTTCATAAAAATTATATGTACTTTAGATGTTCTATGACGTCTACTTCTGTCATTTTCCAATTAAGTAAACTGGAATTCTGGTCTATTATTAAATATTAACACTTTGAACACTTTTGGATGACTCCTTATTAGCTGTATGTCATTTGATTTTGTGATTTGATATTTCTTGCCCATTTATTTGGCGGTCTTAATTTTTTTCCATTTTCCAAAGAACCATCTTGGTTCTTTCAAATGCATTTCTTCCCACTACATTTTTCTCGGTATCTATTCCCAGTGTTTGTTTTCTGCCTTCTGCCTTCGTAGTGTTAGCTGAGCTTTCTTAATGTTTTACACTGAATATTTGATTTCTTTATTAGTAATAAAACATTTACATTTTCATTATTTTTCATTTATTAAATTTTGGTCAAATTCACACTTTCAGCAACTGGAATGACTTGAATTAGGTTATCAGATTTACATATGTGAATTACAGATATGAGATGGAGGTTATAAATTGGAAGTTGCTCTTTCTACCTTGGGATTAGAGCCACATACGAAGTGAGTCACTAAAGTTACATGATACTATTTTCCATATTTTTCCATAGGAAGAGCAGATTGTTCAAGTGCCTATGAGTGCTTTAGAAACTATAGAGAAATAACAAACAATAGCAACACAACGAGAAATATCAGACCCATATATCTAGCTAAGTATCTTTTGGAAGTAGTTTTTTGCTAGAGCAGTGATATTCACTTAAACTAGTGTTTTTGCGATTTAAATGATGTGATGCATTTTTATTGTTGTTTTTGCCTTTATTGTGGGCAGATATCAAAGGACATTCCAATCCAAAGAGTTTACAAGAAATTCTCTCCAAGTTTCTGGATTTCCTGATCATTTGGTATCCTGAAACAAAGAATGTCCTGAAGCTAGGGAAAGAATGGAGAGAAACTCTTAGAAAGCTCAGCTGCTTCTGTGCCTAGAGTGGATTCTATCGTGTGAGTTCTACTGCTAGTCAAGAAGTTCAGCTTTCCTGATGGTGCCCGGCTATCAAAAGATACAGCATCTGGGGTCTTAAAGGCTTGAAGATAAAAAAGCGGCCATCTAGCTCAGCAGCAACAAGGCCCACATGGAAGAAGCACACCAGCCTGTGTGATCACGAGGTGTCGAAGGGATGAGGTATCAGGCATCAAAGAACAAAAAATTATATCATTGTGAATGAGAGAGAGTGCAGAGTGGGGACCCAAAGCCCATCTGTAGGCAACTGGACATCCCCTTACAGAAGGGTCGTGGGGAGGAGACGAGCCAATCAGGGTGTAGGGTAGCAACGATGAAACATATAACTTTCCTCTGGTTCCTAAATGCTTACTCCCCCCATTATCATGATCCCAATTCTACCTTACAAATCCGGCTAGACCAGAGGATGTACCTGGTACAGATAGGAACTGGAAACACAGGGAATTCAGGGTGAATGATCCCTTCAGGACCAGTGGTGAGAGTGGCGATACTGGGAGGGAGGAGGGAGGATGAGGTAGAAAGGGGGAACCGATTGCAAGGATCTACATATAACCTCCTCCCTGGGGGATGGACAACAGAAAAGTGGGTGAAGGGAGACATCGAACAGTGTAAGGTATGACAAAATAATAATAACTTATAAATTATCAAGGATTCATGAGGGAGGGGGAGTGGGAAGGGAGGGGGAAAATGAGGAGCTGATACCAAGGGCTTAAGTGGAGAGCAAATATTTTGAGAATGATGATGGCAACAAATGTACAAATGTGCTTGACAGAATGGATGCATGTATGGATTGTGATAAGAGTTGTACGAGCCCCCAATAAAATGATAATAATAAAAGAAGAAGAAGAAGCTCAGCTTTCCAGGTGACAGTGGGGGGCAGGGTCAAAGGTAAAAATCATTACATCATGCTTGTAGGGACTTGGAAAAGAGGTTTCATTGTTGCCTGTAACAGAAAGGGATTTTTGAGCAAAGACATAGGTAACGATTGAGGCTTAAGTCATGAAGCAAGTCTGAGGGTATAGTATCTGAGGTCCATAAATTAGCCCTTTACCTGCAGCTGCTCTGAGTAAAATGTCAGCACAGGCAGAAACAATATCCTGACGCTAGGTGGCAGAAGTGTTTCACCATTGCCATTTCCTGGCTTAGGAACTATTAGAGCCCTAATGCTAGGACTGTTCACTGCCCACCGCCCACCCCTCTCTAGCCCAGGGACTTCTGAGCAAAAGGACTTCATGTAACTATAAATCCACCCGCTATAATTAGCTGGTTATTAAGGCCTGATTTCCCCACACCCTTTATAAGGCTCCATGCAAAATGCCCGGTCTTATCAGTATAAGAAAACCCGTAACTTCAAATTCCAACTCTGGTTCTCCTTTGAAACCCCAAATTTCTCAGCTGCTGGACACTCACGTGGCCACCCAAGTGCTCCATCATTTTCCTCATTAGAGTGACGTGCCTGGCAGAGCCACTGCTTCATTGTATGAAAAGGTGCTCTGGTGACGGGCGGCTGACAGCTCCAAGGTCAGCCAGTGTGAAGCCCTCAGGCACTGTGCAGCAGAAAGATGAGGCTTACTGCTCCCCAAAATCTGAGAACGCCTCAGGAGTCCACAGATCAGCTCCACTCTGTCCTACAGTCATTATCAGTTGGGATCAACTCAAGGAGAGTGAATTGGGAGTCTTGTTGGATACATGCAAACATTTTTCAACATCTTGATCCTTAGATCCTCATCTAAAAATGGGAATAATAATACTTATTCAGAAAGCTTATTATGAAAATTTAATTTATGAAGTGTTTAACACTTTCTTGATACAGCCTCACCAACTTATAAGATGTTGCCTGAGTTATATAACCCCAGTTTACCACTAGCTTATTGGGAACCTAGTTTCATCACCCATCATTATAAGGATCAGTGCAGTCATCTCCTTGGCAAGTAGCTTCATCCCTGTGATTTTACTGTTGCTCCGTCAGAATGTCATTCGTGTCTACTCAAGAGTGTGGCTCCCATCATCTAGAATATAATTTACAATACAGATGAGGAACACCAGTTTTATGCTGAAAGTACATATATGTTTACATATGTATAGATAGATATAGACATTTCTGTAGACAGATTTTACTGGTGAGACACAGTAACTTCCAGAGAAGAGTCTATTTCAATACAACATATTCTGTCCCAGCATGAGATGGATAGCTTCTCAACTCTCAATTCAGACTAACATACAATTCTGATACCAAAACAGTGATTTTAACACAAAGCAAGAACCCACTGATCTCACTTAAAAATGTAAATGCAAGACCGCCTAGTGGAAGAGTAGCCCATTGAAACCAATCCTGCACTGAAGAGCACAAAGCTTTGGGAGTTCCAAAACCAAATGTACACAAGTGAAACAAACACCAGAGAGAACATGTCCCCACCCCTTAGCAGTGGATCCCGGTCGAGGCTCAAAATGGGTATCAGCTATGCCTCACGAGTGGGCAGGGGCACTGCTATTGTGGTCACTGGCATTAGCACGGGCTTACGCTGGTTGATAACAGAAGTGTGTTTTTGTTTTGTGTTGTATTCATCAATTTCCTTCCATTGCCAGCCAAGGGCACACTCTAGCTTATCGTTGGGTCGGTTGATGATATCCAAGCGCTCATTTTATATCCTCAGGTGATGATTTTCACCATCTCTGAGAACTTGATGGCCCCCTTGGTGTGGTCCTTGGCCAAAGCACAGACTCCTTCATCCACGGGAGACAATGGCGGAGTCTCCAACTTGGTCTCATCCTGCGTGCTTCCAAGTCCCTGAGAGATACTTGGGACCTAGTTAGTATAAGATCACGGACTCAGAATTCCCCAGAGCCTCCCCAGAGATTCAAGACCGTCAAGGTTTGGGGCACTTCGGCTCTTCCCAGCTACTCAAGATTCTGGAGGTGGGAGGGCCTTCCCAGCCATTTTGGCCATGAGAGGTGCTTGGGCCCTCCCAGTCTCTCAAGTTCAAGTTGTCCCAGGGACTTGGGCCAACATGTGACCACTAGTCTTCTTGGACATTCAAATGTTTCTTTTCCCAGGCATGTTTGCCTGAGCAGAGCTGCGGCTACAAGGCCACAGCACTGATCATTGTTGCCTGGGGTGAGCTCCTGGCATCACCAAAACGATTTCTGTTCCCTTTGAAGCCTTTGCAGCAATGGAGTTGGGTTGAAAAAACCCAGGAAACAGTAGGCAGGCTTCCGCATAGGCAACTGGATCCTGTAAAGCAAGTGGCCATGGTTTCAGGGTCTGACACAGCACATGAGTCTTTAAAGGCAATTGGGGAGGCAGACTGGATCTGGGACGCAGCTAAAAAGACCCTTGAGGTGGCAGTAGAGGTCTCTAATGTGGCCAGCAAGGTTCCCCAAGTAGCTGCAGGTGTGCCCTGACAGCTGAAACTGTCCGTGGGGTACAAAAAGTGGTAGCAAAGATCATTTGGTCCTTCAAAGGAGGCCTGCGTTCCTTTGAAGAGATTCTCCATTCCTTGGAGGGGTCCCTAGATTCCCGGGATGGGGAATCAGCAGTGATTCAGCCAAGCCCGTTAGAATGAGGTTGTGTGCTGTGCCTGCATGGCTCCACCTGGGGTTTGCCAAGCGGGCTGGCTGCTCTGCTTGCTGCCCCAAAGGCTAGGCCTGCTGGGTAGGTTGTTGTATTGGTGGAACCTTCTGGGAGGTTGGGGGCCCTGGAAATGGCAGCTCCACTTGAACCTCTGGTCAGCCCTGACTCTGGACGTCTTGGGCAGACAGAGACTAGCAGAAGTTAGCTGGTGCCTGTGAGGCATCCCAGGCCAGGACTTGGGCCTGCTGCATGTCCTGGAACTCCATAGAAGTTGGCAATCCCTGTGGCAATGGGGGTTGGCCCTTGGGGACCTGCCAGATGTTGGCAGGTGGTATGAGATCTGGGTGCCTGGGTGGCCTGCGGACAGCACTGGGAGGATCTGCTGCAGAGTTGCCTGCCCCTTTCAGGCCTGCAGCCTGCCTGGTCACAGGGACGGAGGAGGTGGCAGGGACTGCCAGACAGGAGCCTGGATCTGAGGGGCTGGCCAGGTGTGGAGGGTGGACTTGCAGATTGGGAGTGGGGCCTGGCGCGAAGGCTGTGAGCTCAACCAGATGGATGGTAGGCCCTGGCACATGGGAAGAGGCACCTGACAGGGCAATTTCTGAGGCTTGACAGGTGACCTGCATGGTCTTCCAGGTCAGTGGTGTGGTGTGAAGAAGCCTGCCAGCGTGGTGAAGTGGACTGATAGCCCAGGGGTCTGGCCAACTGTGCCCGGGGGGCCTGAGGGCACAGTGAAACCAGTGGAACCTTTATCATCTAAGATTGGATCAGCGGCTAAGTTTGTGGGACTCAAGAAGCCAGAGACTGAGCAGATGTGACAATTGGTGGCACCCTCGAAGTTGGGCTGAGTGACTGGGGCTCCGGGACTTGGAGACTGGATCATCAGGGTGCCAGGACCAGGCTTGGGCATCTGGGCTGCAGGAGGCAGAAGCTGGGTTATCGAGGGCCCAGGAAATGGAGGCTGGACTGTTGGAGCTCCTGGCATCGAAGTTTGGACCATCTGGGCTCCAGGAGTCAATGACTGGGCCATCAGGACACCTGGAACTGGAGGCTGGGTCATCGGGATCCCTGTGAGGGCAGGATGGGATATTTGTGCAACTCTGGCTGCAGAGGTTGAGCCACTGGCAAACCCACTGTAGGAGGATGAACCATCTCAGTCCCCAAAGCAGGAGGATGAGCCATCAGGATCTCCCGAGGGAGAGGGTGCACCATTGGGGCGGCAGAAGGGGGCAGGTGTGCCATCAGTGTGCCCGGATATACGAGTCCCTGGAGGGGGTGGGTGGGCCATGGAGATTCTAGGAGCTGAACAATGGACCAAAAGAACTCCTGGTGCTGGAGACTGAGCCTACTGGACTACTGGAGGATGCCAAGAGTAAGACAGAACCACTGGGGCCCCTAGGGCAGGAGGTTGGGCCACTGGGGTTGAAGGCTGGCCCTCCAGAGCCACCCAGGCAGGCTGAGGTGCCTGCCAAATGGCCGAAGAAAACTGGTCAATTGGAGGTGGATCCCAAGGGCTGGGCCCTCGAAGTGGCGGGCAGGCCTCGGATCAGAACCCTGATGCTACAGACAGGGGACTTCGCTGCCTCGGTGGGAAGACACGAACCACCCAGATTCTTACTTAGCTGTGACATCCCTTTGCTCTCACAGGGGCTGGGGTCCTGCCCTCAGAGAAAACAATGCCCATGTGGCTGCGGAGGCTCCCTCCCTGCTGACCGCTGAATAGGAAGTGCCCTGCAGCTTTCCACCTTAAGGGGGAAGTGGGAAATGAGCCCAATCCCGGCCTCTTCTGCACCCTCCCTGACCAGCACCAGTGGACAGAGCACAGGGGTGTCTACCAGAAATCCTGGCTAACGAGAGATCCTTTCCCCACATGTGTCCAGTTCCCAAATGCAGGCTGCTCAACCTTTCCAAGGACGACTTTCCACAAGAAAGTGACAACGACACAATTATGTTTTAGAATGATCACTGCACGGCAGGATAAAGTGAGACAGACCACTGGGATTAGGAAAGGTATGCAGCAAGTGGGAGATAGTGTGGCCGTCTCTCTGATAGGAACTGGAGGATGTGAGAAGTCCCTATGTGCACAAGATTTAAGAGTAATAGTAATAATAGAGGTAGAAGTACTCTCAGCAGTGTCCTTCAAAATTGGTAATTTATGGATTCTAAATGAATGAGTATCTACTCCCAAGGATTTTATTGCCTTTAGGGATTAGAGAATGTGGGGGTGACAATTTGCCTGTTTGCTGCTACTACTGTATCAGATTATCACAAGTGTGCAGTTTTAAAAAGGATGGTTATTTCTCACAGTTCGAGAGATTAAAAGTCCAAATCCGTGTTTTGGTCCTGCCATCCCTTCCTTCTTCCTAGTCCTTGACTTGTCCTGATGCCCCTGCTTTGCAGATAATCCCCACATGATCTGTGTATCTCTGTGTCCATTTGGCCTTTTTAGACTTCAGAAGCGATTAGGTTTAGGACAGGGGTTCTCAACCTTCCCAATGCCACGACCCTTTCATACAGTTCCTCGTGTTGTGGTGCCCCCCCCCCCCAACCATAAGATCTTTTTCGTTGCTACTTCATCACTGTCATTTTGCTACTGTTATGAATCGGGCGACTCCTGTGAGAACCGCTGGTATGGGCACGTAGCAGGGCACAAAGAAATGTGTTATACAAAATGGATGATGCCACGCCTTGTGGTTTCCAGGATTTGTCTTGGTGGTACAACTCCTCTCAGTTTGGATTTCAAACTTCCACAGGGATTTGGGCACACTTCAATAGAGACAACGTAACACATATCACACTCGGATTGTCTCAATAGCAACTCTGCCTTCAGACTGTGCGTCCCTTTCATTTTATTTATCAACATATAAATTCTACTCAATCTGAAGCCCATTTTGTCACTTTTAGTACAAAGAAAAAGTCATCAGAAACGGAGTTCTTCCATTACGTTGTTCTTTTTCATGATGATGACTATTTGAGCTTCACTACTCCATTCTGTGGGTTATCCCACAAGTTATTACCAACAGAGTTTTGAATAACTAACATAATTTCAACTCTGAATAAATCCATTCCATGAAAGGAGTCCCCGTTTACTCCAGCAGGTAGTGCAGAAGTCAAACAAGAAGGGCCAAGGATTATAAAAGGGGAAAACGTGTCACTGTCAAAGGTGTCAACTATTATTTTTAAATCACCTTATTGCGGGCGTGTACAGCTCTTATCACAATCCATGCATCCATCGTGTCAAGCACATTTGTACATTTGTTGCCATCATCATTCTCAAAACATTTGCTTTCTACTTGAGCCTTTGATATCAGCTCTTCAATTTTTCCTCTCCAGCCCTGCTCCCTCCTCCTTCATGAACCCTTGATAAGTTATAAATTATTATTATATTGTCATGTCTTACACTGTCCGACGTCTCCCTTCACCCACTTTTCAGTTGTTCATCCCCCGGGGCAGGGGGATTATATGTAGATTCTTTTCATCGGTTCCCCCTTCTTCCCCACCTTCCCCTTACCCAACCGGTATAGCCAATCTCACCACTGGTCCTGAGGGGTTCATCTGTCTTGGATTCCCTGTGTTTCCAGTTCCTATCTGTACCAGCGTACATGCTCTGGTCTAGCCAGATTTGTAAGGTAGAATTGGGATCGTCAGAGTGTGGGGGAGGAAGCATTCAAGAACTAGAGGAAAGTTGCATGTTTCATCATTGCTACACTACACCCTGATGGGCTTGTGTTCTCCGTGGGTGTTAACTACTATCACTTACGAAATTCTTTAGCAGATGCTCAAACAAGGACAGCGGTTCTCAACCTGGGGGTCTGGACCCCTTTGGGGGTTGAACAACCCATTCACAGGGGTCACCTAAGATCATCGGAAAACACATAAATATTTCACTATAAGCCACCCAAGGGGAGGGTTTGTTTATATCTCCACAGGGAAAGAGGAACCAGACTTCAACCCAGTGCTCCAAGATGTGAATGCAACATGCCGGCGTGGAGTAGGGAACCAGTGGAGAGGTCTGATGGGCCGGTCCCAATCCCAACTACGTGGACACTTGCCCCTCTCCCTAGAAGAATTTATTTCAGAGGACAGTATTGAAGCTGCAGCTCAGGGAGAGGGACATGTCTGATCAGAGCACATGGGAGCAAATGAAGGGGGAGGAAGAGAGAGTGGAGCACATTCTGACCCACCAAGTCTTGAGAATGGTATTCGTGCTCAGAGCAGCCAATCCACAAAGAGGACCATATGGCTGGCCCCACTATGAAACACAACATCCCTCACTGACCCATAGCCCTACAGGGGACAACACTGGAGACACAATGTGGGAATTGCGCCCAATCTGACCCCACCACACTGAGGCAAAACACTAAGGGCATGCAATAGAACTAAGGGGAACAGAGCAACGAAGTCCCCAGGGAATACCAAAAATAACAATGGGCCCAGGGCATGGCACCCATCAGACTCGACCGGAAAACACTCCTAAAGGCCACCAAACAGTCCTTGAACTAACTACAGGCTTTTCTTTTTCGCTGTAGTTGTGTTGTGGGTTTGTCATTGGCTTTTTGTTGTTGCTTGGTTTTGTGCATGTTATTATCTTGTTTTTGTGCATGTTATCATCTTTGCAGGTCTGTCTAAATAAGATAGGCTGGATGAACAATCTGGGGGAGAAAACAATGGGACCGGCAGTTCCGGAGGGACATGGGAGAGGGGGAGGTGGGGGAAAAGGACGTAGTGTTAACAACCCAGGGACAAGGGAACAAGTGACCCAAATCGGTGGCGAGGAGGGTGTAGGAGGCCTGGGAGGGCATGATCAAGGGTAATGTAACCGAGAGGAATTACTGAAACCCAAATGAAGGCTGAACATGATAGTGGGACAAGAGGAAAGTGAAAGGAAATAGAGGAAAGAACTAGGAGGCACAGGGCATTTACAGAGGTCTAAATACAGGCATGTACATAGGTAAACCTATTTATATATGAGGATGGGGGAATAGATCTATGTGCATATATTTATAGGTATAGTATTAAGGTAGCAGATGGACATTGGGCCTCTACCCAATACTTTGTTCTATTAAACTGGCATTCCATGATGCTCACCTTCCTGACACTATCGCTGAAGACAAAGTGGGTGCATAAGCAAATGTGATTACGGGGATGGTGCCCAGCTATCAAAAGATATAGCGTCTAGGGTCTTAAAGACTTGAAGATAAATAAGCAGCCATCTAGCTCAGAAGCAACAAAGCCCACACAAAAGAAGCACACCAGCCTGTGTGATCACAAGGTGTTGAAGGGATGAGGTACCAGGCAACAAAGAACAAAATATCATATCATTCTGAATGAGGAGTGGTACGGAGTGGGGACCCAAAGCCCATCTGTAGGCAACTGGACATCCCCTTACAGAAAGGTTGCAGGGAGGAAAGGAGCCAGTCAGGGTGCAATGTAGCAAAGATGAAACATACAATTTTCCTCTAGTTCCTAAATGCTTCCCTCCCACTATCAATATCATGATCCCAATTTTACCTTACAAATCTGGCTAGACCACAGGATGTACACTGGTACAGATAGGAACTGGGAACCCAGGGTGGATGATCCCTTCAGGACCAGTGGTGAATGGGAACACCAGGAGGGTGGAGAGAGGGTGAGTAGGAAGGGGGGAACCGATTACAGGGATCCATATATAACCTCCTCCCTGGGGGACGGACAACAGAAAAGTGGGTGAAGGGAGATGTCGGACTGTGTAAGATATGACAAAGTAATAACTTATAAATTATCAAGGGTTCATGAGGGTGGGGGGAGCGGGGAGGGAGAAAAAAATGAGGAGCTGATGCCAGGGGCTTTCGTGGAGAGCAAATGTTTTGAGAATGATGAGGGTAATGAATGTACAAATATGCTTTACACAATTGATGTATGTATGGACTGTGATGAGTTGTATGAGACCTCAATAAAATGATTTATATATATTACATATTATTTTGTTATTAATCAGTGTTTTGTTTAATTTGTAAGTGAAAATACATCCTTCATATCAGATATTTACATTATGAATCATAACAGTAGCAAAATTACAGTTGTGAAATAGCAATGAAAGTAATTTTATGGTTGGGGGTCACCACCACAAGACAACTGTATTAAAGGGTGGCGGCATTACAAAGGTTGAGAACCACTGAAGTAGGAGGTAAAAATTGAGCCTCAATAATTCTGTTGTCACAAGTAAAATCAGTTGTTACTGAGTTGATTCAGAAACCTGGTGACCTTATATGCACCAGCGTAGAACTGTGTTTCAAAGAATTTTCAAAGGCTGATTTTTTAAAGTAGTAGTTTGTCAAGCCTTTCTTTCAAGACGATGCCACGTGGACTTAAATGTCCAACCTTTTGGTTAAAGGTCAAGAAAACTAACCACACTACTCAGAGATTCCTGTTAGGACGAGGGAACATAGGTAAATATAATTTATCCTATGATAATACTTTAGTCAATTACAAGCAATACTCTCAAACCTAGACCACTTGGCTGTCTCAGCTTATCTATACACAAATTACCATCCCTTAGCCTCAAATATATGAGGAGTCAAGGGATATAGACCCCTTTGTGAAATCTATCTCCCTTGATAACAATAAGACCAAACACTACTCTGAATCCAGT